ATATCGACCAGTCTACGCTCTAAGAATACAGTCTAAACCCCAGGTACTTTAACTTCTTGGGTTCTTTTTGAAACCCTAAACCAGGTTCTAACCCAGGTCCGAAACCAGTCTACAGTAAAACCAGGTCCCAGTTCAGCCCCACACTCCCAGCTCGGACCTTGACCTACATCACGAGTGGTATAATGCTCCCTACAACAGATGAATAGCCAGACTAAACTGCTCTACACAGGACTGAAAAACACAATATATTCCAATATCTTTTTTTTCCTTTCTGATATCGAAAACTGATATTTGCCGATACCGATATTAGGTTTTAATTCCATCGCAAGGACCAAAGTCATGTTAAAGGGCTCATAAATCCGTGTATCATTCGTTCAAAATAAAACCAAAAATACGAAAAGAAAAAAGCAACTATTTTCATTATTTGTCTCCAAATTCAAAATCAAAAAACAGATAATGATTTGTTTTTTCAGTTTTCGATTTTGTGTTTAAATGAAAAATGGAAAAAATGGATAACGGCCGTTTCCCGTTTACGTGACTTAAACTGTGATGCTGGACTGAACCAGGACTGAACCAGGACTAAAACAGGTCCGGGACCAGACCAGCACTGAGACCAGGGCTGAGACCAGGGCTGAGACCAGGGCTGAGACTGGGACCAGACTGGGACTGAGACTGGAACTGAGACCAGGATTGAGACCGGGACCAGACCAGAACTGAGACCGGGACTGAGACTGGGACTGAGACCGGGACTGAGCCCGGGACTGAGACCGGGACTAAGACCGGGACTAAGACCGGGACCAGACTGGGACCAGACTAGAACTGAGACCGGGACTAGAAAGAGAACAGACCAGGACCAGGGCGGGGCTGAGACCAGGACTGAGGCCGGGATTAGACCAGGACCAGACCGTGACTGAGACTGGGACTGAGACCGGGACTGAGACCGAGACCAGGACCAGACCAGGGTTGAGACCAGGACTGAGGCCAGGACTAGACCGTGACCAGACCGGGACTGAGACTGGGACTGAGACCGGGACTGAGACGAGACCAGGACCAGACCAGGGTTGAGACCGGGACTGAGACCAGGACCAGACTGGGACCAGACCGGGACTGAGATCGGGACCAGACCGGGACCAGACCGGAACTCAGACCGGGACTGAGACCAGGATTGAGACTGGGACCAGACCAGGGCTGAAAACGATTCAGTCCTGGTTCAGTCCTGGTTCAGTCCTGGTTCAGTCCTGGTTCAGTCCTGGTTCAGTCCGGCATCGCAGTTTAAGTCACGGAAACGGGAAATGTCTGTTATCCATTTTTTCCATTTTTCATTAAAAACACAATCAAAAACTGAAAAAATGCATCATTATCTGTTTTGTTTTTTTATTTTTGTTTTGGAGACAAATAAGAAAGAAAATATTTGTTTTTTCGTTTTCTTATTTTTGGTTTTATATTGAAAAATGTATGAATAATGATACACAGATTCTCATATGACACAATTTTCTGATCTGTGTTATAATGTTGTTTCTTCATCACAAACAAACCTGGACTTGTGTTTTTGTTTCATTCACATGTTTAACTCACAATTTAGGCTGTAGGAAGTGCTCCACTGTGTTTTTAAACTCCACACACTTTCACTAGAATCATTCAGATGATTTCAGCCCTGGAACTGCCGAGCTCGACTAGAAAATGAAAAGGAGCTGTTAACATGAAAACCACCACTTCATGACATCACCAGGTGGAACAGAGCGTGTGGAGCTGTGGAGATGACGAATAAACCACAGTTACTCAAACATGTGTTGAAACAAAACACAAGTCACACACTCCAGGTTTATGATGAGGTAATATTATGGGCCCAGTGTAAACCAGGACTAAACCAGGTCTAAACCAGAACTAAACCAGGACTAAGTCAGGACTAAACCAGGACTAAACCAGGTCTAAACCAAACTAAACCAGGACTAAGTCAGGATTAAACCAGGTCTAAAACTAAACCAGGTCTAAACCAGGACTAAACCAGGACTAAACCAGGTCTAAACCAGGTCTAAACCAGGTCTAAACCAGGACTAAATCAGGACTAAACCAGGACTAAACCAGGACTAAACCAGGACTAAATCAGGACTAAATCAGGACTAAACCAGGACTAAATCAGGACTAAACCAGGACTAAACCAGGACTAAACCAGGACTAAATCCAGGTCTAAACCAGGACTAAACCAGGACTAAACCAGGACTAAATCAGGAACTAAACCAGGACTAAGTCAGGATTAAACCAGATCTAAACCAGGACTAAACCAAGACTAAATCAAGACTAATTCAGATCTAAAACCAGGACTAAACCAGGTCTAAACCAGGACTAAACCAGGACTAAACCAAGACTAAATCAAGACTAATTCAGATCTAAACCAGGACTAAACCAGGTCTAAACCAGGACTAAACCAGGACTAAATCAGGACTAAACCAGGACTAAACCAGGACTAAACCAAGACTAAATCAGGTCTAAACCAGGACTAAACCAGGACTAAACCAGGACTAAATCAAGTCTAAACAAGGTCTAAACCAGGTCTAAACCAGGACTAAACCAGGTCTAAACCAGGACTAAACCAGGTCTAAACGAGGTCTAAACCTGGACTAAACCAGGCCTAAACAAGGACTAAATCAGGACTAAACCTGGACTAAACCACAACTAAATCAGGTCTAAACCAGGACTAAGCCAGGTCTAAACGAGGTCTAAACCAGGACTAAACCTGGACTAAATCTGGTCTAAACCAGGACTAAATCAGGACTAAATCAGGTCTAAACCATGTCTAAACCAGGTCTAAATCAAGTCTAAACCAGGTTTAAACCAGGTCTAAACTAGGACTAAACTAGGACTAAATCAGGTCTAAGCCAGTTCTGAGCCAGGTCTAAACCAGGACTAAATCAGGCCACCCCCAGGACCAAACCAGGTCTTTCCCAGGTCTAAACCAGGACTAAGCCAACCCTAAAGAGAACTAAACAGGACCAAGTCAGGGCTAAACCTGGACCAAACCAATCAGGACTAAAACCAGGACTCAACCAGGACTAAACCAGGTCTTGGGTGTTCTGGTGCGTGGTGGAGAATGTGTGAGTCCGAGGGCGTCCACTTCCTGTCCGGAGGAAACCCCACTTCCTGTGCGCGACCACAACAATAAAAGACTGTTCCTTTCGTCTGTTGAGTGTTCTGCTGTTTAAACAGAGTCCAGGGGCCCGAGGACCAGGGGCCACACCTCAGCCCGGACCAGGGGCCATCGTCAGGACCCCGGGGTCACGCCAAGAATCCACCAAGACCTCACCCCTCGGACATGTGCGGGGTTTGTGTGAACGAAACAAAACACAAAACACGAGTCCACGAGGAAACGACATTAGAACATGGATCAGAAAATAGAGTAAAGTGGGTCTTTTTAAAGCAAGTATCAAACCTGATGTAGTCCTGGTTTAGTCCTGGTTCAGTTCTGGTTTATTCCTGGTTTAGACCTTGTTTGATGATGTTTCAGTCCTGGTTTAATCCTGGTTCAGTCCTGGTTTATTTTTGGTTAAGCTCTAAATCTCTAAGTCTGGGTTTAGTCCTGACTTGGTCCTGTTTAGTTCTCTTTAGTCCTGACTGGTTTGGTCCAGGTTTAGTCCTGACTTGGTCCTGTTTAATCCTCTTTAGTCCTGGTTTAGTCCTGGTTTAGTCCTGGCCGGTTTGGTCCAGGTTTAGTCCTGACTTACTCCTGCTTAGTCTCTTAAGTCCTGGCTTAGTTCTGGTTTAGTCCTGGCCGGTTTTGTTCCGGTTTAGTCTGACTTGGTGATGTTTAGTCTCTTTAGTCCTGAGTCCGGTTTGGTCCTGGTTTAGTCCTGACTTGGTCCTGTTTAATCCTCTTTAGTCCTGGTTTAGTCCTGGCTGGTTTGGTCTGGGTTAATTCTAACTTGGTCCTGTTTAGTTCTCTTTAGTGTTGGCTGAGTCTTGGTTTAGTCCTGGTTTAGTCCTGGCCGGTTTGGTCCAGGTTTAGTCCTGACTTACTCCTGCTTAGTCCTCTTAAGTCCTGGCTTAGTTCTGGTTTAGTCCTGGCCGGTTTGGTCCGGGTTTAGTCCTGACTTGGTGATGTTTAGTTCTCTTTAGGGTTGGCTTAGTCTTGGGTTAGTCCTGATTTAGTCCTGGCTGGTTTGGTCCACTGGTTTAGTCCTGACTTACTCCTGTTTAGTCCTCTTTAGTCCTGGTTTAGTCCTGGTTCAGTCCTGGCTGGTCTGGTCCGGGTTTAGTCCTGACGTGGTCCTGTTTAGTCCTCTCTTTAGTCTTGGTTTAGACCTGGTTTGGACCTGGGATAGACATTTAGACTTGGTGTAGACCTCATTTAGATCTTGTTTAGTCCTGGTTTAGTCCTGGTTTAGACCTGATTTAGTCTTGGTTTAGACCTGGCTCAGTCCTGGTTTAGACCTGGTTTAGACCTGGTTTAGACCTGATTTAACTCTGGGGTGTTGCAGAGCTGGACACACCTGCCCTGGGGCAGAATAACCAGAGTCGCTGCTGTTATTCTGCGGTAAAAACTAAACCTCTGTGATCAAACACGTCCACACACAGACTGAACACACGTGCAGATGTTACAACAGACTTGAACCAACAACCTGCGGATTAGTGACTTAAGGCTCCTTCTCTTCTGCACCTGTCAGATTCACCTGTCTAAACCTGACAGGGACTCCACTGCGCACGAACCGCAGCGTTAGTGCAATGTGCGCGCGCACTGACGCACTGAGCTCTGGGCTTTTGTTCTGATCTGAGTCTGAGTCTGGGGTGACACGGACCCACGGGTGACACGGACCCACGGGTGACACGGACCCACGGGTGACACGGACCCACGGGTGACACGGACCCACGGGTGACACGGACCCACGGGTGACGCTCACAGAGATGCTGCCCCGCGCGCTCACCTCCCCGCGCGCACGGTCCTCACAAACTTGTCCAAACAAACCGCACAGACAGCGCAGATTTCAGCAGATCTCCGCGGTTCTCACCTCGTTCGGCGCAGGACTCCGCGGAGTTCTGGTCCCGAAGCGCCCGGAGCTGGTCGGAGCCTGTCGGTTCGCTCCGGCCCGGTTTGGCGCGGTTTGGGTTCGGGTTGTTCGTAGATCCACTGTGCCTGACTTTCTCTGACAGACTTTTCGGGAGGAGACGCGTGTCAAGTGTGAGTCTGCGAGCACGGAGCGCACTTCCGCTTTCACAATAAAAGACTACAGGAAAACTTTCGAATTTCCGGTTTTGCGTAAAGTAAAAGACAACTAAAAAATGATATCGATAAAACAGATAACAGATAACATGACCTGTGTGATTTTTGGAATCCAATTGGTGAACATGATTATGAGAAAATACTTAAGTCCTTTTTAATTACCTTTTATTTATCACTTGCACCATTTGTAATCAGTGTTGTGAAGGTGACTTTTAAAATGTATTCCCCTACAGATTACAGATTACATACACCAAAATGTAATTTGTAACGTAATCCATTAAATTACTTAACATGAGTAACGTAATCTGAATACTTTGGATTACTTGATTTACTGTAGAGAAGCATAAATCGTAACATAAGATGTTTTGTCTGCGAAAAGAAAATGAAAAACCCAGAATTTACTGAACCAAATTAAAAATATTACTGATTAAAGACGAGGAGACATGATCCGCACAGCATGATTTAGTCCTGTTAAATCCTGTTTAAGACATAGTTTAGACTGGTTTACCTGGTTTAGACCTGGTTTAGTCTTGGTTTAGGTTTAGTCCTGGTTTAAATCTGGTTTTAGACCTGGTTTAGAGCTGGTTTAGTGTCCGGCAATGAGTGGAATTACCGGGAATATATATATATATATATATATATATATATATATATATATATATATATATATATATATATATATATATATATATATATATATATATATATATATATATATATATATATATATATATATATATATATATATAATATATATATATCCCAAAATGTGAAAACAGGAAAATACCTCTGTGTAATCCATTTATTTCAACAAAGTAACTGTAATCCAATTACCACTCACTGAAACAGTAACTGTAACTGAATACAGTTACTCATAATTTGTACTCTGATTACTCTGGTACATGTAATCTGTTTCTCCCCAACACTGTTTGTAGACTTAAAGGAGTGTATAGTTTGATTTATGGTAAAACTCACAGCTCATAGAACAAGTTTACATGAATATTTCTCCTAAAAAAACAAATAATTTTATGACTCCAGACACATAAACCACCTGCTCCTTCACTTCCCTCACATGTTTGCTCATCTGTGAAGCTTGGAATTTTGATACACCAGTGTGTTTTTGATCAACACAGTGAAGTTTTCGGCTGCAGGACTAGAGGACAAAACTGTACAAGTTAAAGTCTAAAATGAAAATAAATCAGTCAGTAAACTTGTGTCTCACTTTGGCAAATGAAAACATGAAAACCCCTGAATCAGAGAAGATACAACCACTTATAGACACTTTTAACAAATACAGCAACATTTTATTGAGCTACCAGTGGCTGTGGAAGTGCTTTTTGGTTTGTTTTTTTAGCTGAAGCTTCCCTGGCTGCAGACCAAAACTTAATTTGAACAACTCATATAATTAACAACAATAAAAATACACCTGCAACTCAGACACTTCACTATACAAAAGAAAGACAAGAAAAGAAAGTCATTTTTTGGGTTACAGGCTGTGAGGAAAAGGTGATCTATGAGCAGTTTATTTTTTTTTTTTTTTTTTAAAGGTGTTTAGTGAGTCAGCGTTTCTGATGTGGAGGGGGAGAGAGTTCCAGAGGGTTGGCCCAGCAATGGCAATGGCTCGGTCCCCAAAGGCCTGGTGCTTTGATTTGGCCGCAGGACGGGTTGTGGGGCTTGAGTTAAAACATAACCGGTTTTTGCTGATAACAGAACAGAAGAGTTTATGATGGGTGTGTGAAAATTCTCCCCAAAACTGAGTCATTTTCAGTTTCTTAGAAGAAGGTTCATCAAATACTTCTGCTTTCCCAGAATCACATGTTAAAATATAATATACTCTTTCTCTCTGGCTCTTGAAATGAAATGTGGGATAATTTTTAATCACTGAAAAGCGCTTTGTGTTGCTTTTTTTTTTTTTTTTTTTTTGTATGAAAAGCTCTAGTCCTGGTCCTGGTCTTGGGTTAGTCCTGGAATAGTCCTTGTCCTGGTACAGTCCTAGTCTATTCCTGGTCTTGAGTTAGTTCTGGTATAGTCCTGGTACAGTCCTGGTACTAGTCTTAGTCCTGGTCTTGGGTTAGTCCTGGTATAGTCCTTGTACAGTCTTAGTCTTAGTCCTGGAATAGTCTGATCCCAGTACAGTCCTAGTCCCGGTCCTGGGTTAGTCCTGGTATAGTCCTGGTACAGTCCTGGTACTAGTCTTAGTCTTGGTCTTGGGTTAGTCCTGGTATAGTCCTGGTCCTGGTACAATTCTAGTCTTAGTCGTGGTCTTGGGTTAGTCCTGGTCCTGGTACAGTCCTAGTCTTAGTCCAGGCCTTGGGTTCATCCTGGTATAGTCCTAGGCATAGTCCTGGTCTTGGATTAGTCCTGGTATAGTCCTGGTTTTGGTACAGTCCTAGTCTTTGTCCTGGTCTTGGGTTAATCCTGGTATTGGGATAGTCCTGGTCTTGGGATAGTCCTGGTCGTGGTACAGTCTTGGTACTAGTCTTAGTCTTGGTACTAGTTTTAGTCCTGGTCTTGGGTTAGTCCTGGTACAGTCTTGGTACTAGTCTTAGTCTTGGTCTTGAGTTAGTCCTGGTCTTAGGTTAGTCCTGGTCCTGGTACAGTCTTGATACTAGTAGTCTTGGTACTAATTTTAGTCTTGGTCTTGAGTTAGTCCTGGTCTTGGGATAGTTCTGGTCGTGGTACTGTTCTGGTACTAGTCTTTGTCCTGGTCTTGGGTTAGTCCTGGTCCTGGTACAGTCTTGGTACTAGTCTTAGTCTTGGTACTAGTTTTAGTCCTGGTCTTGAGTTAGTCCTGGTCTTGGGATAGTCCTGGTCTTGGGATAGTCCTGGTCGTGGTACAGTTCTGGTACTAGTCTTTGTCCTGGTCTTGGGTTAGTCCTGGTCCTGGTACAGTCTTGGTACTAGTCTTAGTCTTGGTACTAGTTTTAGTCCTGGTCTTGGGTTAGTCCTGGTACAGTCTTGGTACTAGTCTTAGTCTTGGTCTTGAGTTAGTCCTGGTCTTGGGTTAGTCCTGGTCCTGGTACAGTCTTGGTACTAGTCTTAGTCTTGGTCTTGAGTTAGTCCTGGTCTTGGGATAGTCCTGGTCTTGGGATAGTCCTGGTCGTGGTACAGTCTTGGTACTAGTCTTAGTCTTGGTACTAGTTTTAGTCCTGGTCTTGGGTTAGTCCTGGTACAGTCTTGGTACTAGTCTTAGTCTTGGTCTTGAGTTAGTCCTGGTCTTGGGTTAGTCCTGGTCCTGGTACAGTCTTGATACTAGTCTTAGTCTTGGTACTAGTTTTAGTCCTGGTCTTGGGTTAGTCTTGGTACTAGTCTTAGTCTTGAGTTAGTCCTGGTCCTGGGTTAGTCCTGGTCCTGGTACAGTCTTGGTACTAGTCTTTGTCCTGGTCCTGGGTTAGTCCTGGTTTAATTTGGTCCTGCTTTTCCTTTTGCTTTTGCTTTCGTGGTGATACATTCTGCGTGTCTGAGTCGAGTTTCCTCTGGTGAAGGGTCAGCTGGCCCCCACCCTCGCCTCCTGTTTCCTCTTCTCCCATTGTTCCAGACACTTCCTGCTTCCTGTAGCCCGTCTTCCTCAAGAGGCCGAGGAAACCCCACCACATCCACCCCAGAGAACCTCCACTTGAGCAGGACCAGGTCTGAAGAACCACCAAAGAACCTCCATCTGAGCAGGACCAGGTCTGAAGAACCAGAGAACCTCCATCTGAGCAGGACCAGGTCTGAAGAACCAAAGAACCTCCATCTGAGCAGGACCAGGTCTGAAGAACCACCAAAGAACCTCCATCTGAGCAGGACCAGGTCTGAAGAACAAGAAAACCTCCACCTGAGCAAGAGTAGGTCTGAAGAACCACCAGAGAACCTATACCTGAGCAGGAGCATGTTCGAAGACCCATTAGAGAACATGAATCCGAAAAGGAGCAGGCCTGAAGAACCACCAGAGAACCTCCACCTGAAGAGTGGGTCTGAAGGTACCAGAAAACTTCCACTAAAGCAGGAGCAGGTCTGAAGAACCAAGGAACCTCCACTTGAGCTGGAGCAAGTCTGAAGAACCAGAGCATCTTCACTTTAGCTGGAACAAGTCTGAAGAACCAGAGCATCTTCACTTTAGCTGGAACAAGTCTGAAGAACCAGAGCACCTTCACTTGAGTTGGAACAAGTCTGAAGAACCACCAGAGAAGCTTTACCTGATCAGGAGCCAATCTGGTGTACTAGAGAACCTCCACCTGAGGAGGAGCAGGCCTGAAGAACCACCAAAGAACCTTCACCAGAGCAGGAGCAAGTCTGACGAAACACCAGAGAACCTCCACCTAAGCAGGAACAACTCTGAAGAACCACAAGAGAACATGAATCTGAGAAGGAGCAGGCCTGAAAAGCCATCAGAGAACCTCCATCTGAGCAGGAGCAACTCTGAATAACCAGAAAATCTCAATCTGAAGGTCTGGAGAGGAGGACTGAAGAACACCCAAAGAACCTCCACCTGAGCAGGAGCAGGCCTGAAGAACAACTAGAGAACATGAATCTCAGAAGGAGCAGGTCTGAAGAGCCACCAGAGAACCTCCACATGAAGAGTATGTCTGAAGAACTAGAGAACTTCCACAAGAGCAGGAGAAGGTCTGGAGAACCATCAGAGAACCTCCACCTGAAGAGTAGATCTGAAGAACCAAGGAACTTCCACTAGAGCTACTACTAAAAACTGGAAGAAAAAAAAATAGACAAGATTTTTAGTCTTAAAGCAAACCGTCCTCAAGACCTTTTTTTTTTTTTTTTTTTTACAGTCTTGGTCTCGTCTTAGACTCGAGCGCGTTTGGACTTGGTCTTGTCTCAGTTTTTAAGGTGCTTGGACTCAGTCTTGTTGGGTTAAGTCCTGGTCCTCGTACAGTTCTAGTCCTAGTCCTGGTCCTGGTACAATACTAGTCTTGGGTTAGTCCTGGTATAGTCCTGGTCCTGGTAGGGTCCTAGTC